GTGTTCCTGTCTAGACTCTACTTCCTGGCACAGACACTTTAGTCAGAGAAATTTACCTTGTTGAGTCTGTTTCCTTCCGATAAAATGGGTTAAGCAATCTACCTCATGAGGCTGTTGAGAAGGCTCCCTAAGATTATGTATGTGGACTGACTGGTCAGACCAGAGAACTTGGGAACAGATGCAAACAAATATGTTCAGTTAGTTTCCCTATTCACTTTTGCTTTCGGTGGCAAAGTCAATGAAGAGGAGAAAAGGCTGGCTTTCCCAGTACATCACCGGAGCAAATCAGACACTCTTGGCAAAAACGGAACCTTCAACTTGAACAGATCATTTAAACGAAGGCCAACTTAAAAATGAATCGAAGACACAGGGTGTGGTAGTGCAGGCACAGGTTTCTTGGGGAGCAGGGGACTGAGGCAGGAAGATCTTAAATACAGGACCTTCCTGGGCTACAGAGTGAGTTGAGGGCAGTTGAACAATTCAGTTGAGACCCTGTGTCAAGATAAAATAAAAAGTAAAAAAAGGGTTGAGACGTAGGTCAGTAATAGAGCACTTGCCTAGAATCCCTGAGTGAGGGGCTGGGGCGTGGCTCAGTGGTAGAGCACCTGCCTAGAATCCCCCAGTGAGGGGCTGGGGTGTGGCTCAGTGGTAGAGCCCCTGCCTAGAATCCCCCAGTGAGGGGCTGGGGTGTGGCTCAGTGGTAGAGTACTTGCCTAGAACCCCCAGTGAGGGTCTGGGGCGTGGCTCAGTGGTAGAGCACCTGCCTAGAATCCCCCAGTGAGGGGCTGGGGTGTGGCTCAGTGGTAGAGCACCTGCCTAGAATCCACTAGTGAGGGGCTGGGGCATGGCTCAGCAGTTGAGCGCTCACCTGGTACTGGAGAGTTCCTGGGCTTAATCTCTAGCATGGAGGGGTGGGTGGAATCAAGGGCTTAAAATGCCCAACAGTAAAACTTCTGATTCATAATTGGAAAAAGAATGATAATTTAGACCCCATAAAGAAGATGAAAAGAAAAACTAAAGATGGGGGGTGGAGGAGAGAGAGCTCTCGAACACTGAAAAGCACAGTGTCCAACTAGAAACTGGGCAAAGACATGCAGACATTTCATTGGAGAGAATATGTAGTTGGCAGATCAGCGCATGGAAAGATGTTCAGCATTGTTGGCCCTCAGAGCCATGCAAATTAAAACGACAATTGAGCTAGCACTATGCACCCATCAGAACAGCTAAAGTGAAAAATGGTGACAACACCAAATGGCAGTGAGATGGTGAGGAAACCAGACGACGCATACGCTGCTGGTGGGAATGTGAAACGGACTTAAGCACATGGTAAGTAACTGTACTCTCAGGCACTGATCCCAGACAAACTTATTTTCATGCAGAAACTTATATGCCTGAATGTACATGCTACATGTTCATAGCCTAAAGCTTTATAATGGTCCAAACCCAGAAAGTACCCAAGTATCTTTATCTAGGTGAGTAGTTAAACTGCAGCACATCCAAACCAGGGCACAACTCCCTGGTGTAATGAACATCAATTACATACAACAATAACATGGATGAGCCTCAAGGATTTTGTGCTGCGTGAAAAGGACAATCTTAAGAGGATACATACTGTAAGGTCCTTTTCACATAATACTTCCTGACGATAGTTTAATTAGAGATGGAGGACAGATTAATGGCTATTAGGAAGTTAGGGGTGGAGGAGGCTAACTGGGCAGCACTAGAGATCTTGTGGTCACATAAGACTGTAAGACATACATATGTGTACACATACATGCACAACTGCTGACTTCTGGGTAGGCTCTACTGCTGTGCTGATGGTAATTTCCTTTTTTGTTTGGTCTTTTTGAGACAGGGTCTACTTTAGTCCCAGCTGGTCTGGAACTCACTATGTAGACCGGGCTGGCCTTGAACTCATGGACATCTGCTTGCCTACTTTTGCCTCCAGCATTAAAGGCATGGGAGACCACAGCCCACAATTTCCTTTCTTTTGGTCCTAAGACAGGGTCTTATATTGCCTAGGTTGGCCTGGAACTTCCTATGAAGCTGAGGATGGGCCTGAATACCTGCTCCTTTTGCCTCCACCTCCCAAGGGTTGGGATTACAGGTGTGTACTCCCAAGCCCAACGATGCCAATACTAGTTTCTTGCCTTGATATATTTTAAATGAATGAAAGATGCTACTGATGAAGAAAGGGTTCATGGGACATTTTGGTACGGATTTTTATAATGCTCTATGAATCTCTTATTTCCAAATTTAAAAAATAGGAAAAAATACCCGGGTGTGGTGGCACACGCCTTTAATTCCAGAACTCTGGAGGCAGAGGTGGGCAGATCTCTGAGATCAAGGCCAGCCTGGTCTACATAGTGTATTCCAGACCAGCTGTGGCTACAAGGAGAACCTGTCCCACAAAGACCAAAAAAAGAAAAGAAAAAAAATAAAGAGTGACATCAAGACTTAAGGAAAACAAGCAAATCTCTCCAAGCATTTGTAGTGATGTCATCCAGACAGCTGCTCTGTTGTTTTCCTGGTTCTGGAGACTGAACCCAGGGCCTCAGGCATGCTAGGGAAGTGATTTATGAGCTACATCCCCTTTTTTACTTTTTACTTTTGAGACATGGTCTCACTAAGTTGCCCAGAATGGCCTTGAACTCACACTGTAGCCCAGCCTGCCTTGAACTTTTGATCCTCCTGCCTCAGCCTCTTGAACAGCTGGGATTACAGATGTGTGACACCAGACCCAGTCCTGTCACCTTTGTTATCAGCCAGTCATCCAAGCCAATTGCCACTTGCAGTCTCAGTCTGTTCTGAGGCCCAGGTGTCTGGCATGCCATAGCCGATCCATTCCAGATCGTTCTCCACCTATCCTTCATCCCGCGATTCTGCTTATTCATATGTATGGCCCCTTTTCTGTCTGTAATGACATGCTTCCTCTTCTCTGTGGCAAACTCCCACCAATGTCCCTTGGCTCTACTCAAATGCCCCCTCCTCCTGAGAGCCAGCCTAGAGCTCCAGGGCCAGGCTGTGTTCCTCCTCCTCTGTTGGCATGCTTGTCAGTCATGTGCTTTGTAGAACCTTCTCTCTAGCACAGGCAAGGAGATGATAGGGTCCCTGGCAATAAGGAGCTCAAACATTCCTCCTGCACTTAGCACAAGCAAGGCTTTTGGGACCCTGCTCTGAAGGGGGATGGAACAGTGGCCACTAGAGGATGAAATGGTGGGTGTGTCCCCCGATTTTACAACAGAGGCTCAGCATCTAACAGGATGCAGAGTGGCAGCTCTCAGAACTGTGTCTATCAGCAGCAGGCTTTACCTGAGAGCTGCCAGGGCACAAACTCAGGGTGAGGCCCAGCCCTGTGTATTTGAAAGAGTCCTCCTTGGGTGACTGCAGACCGAAAGTCTCAGGTTTGATGGACTGGTCTCTGGGCTAGAGGCAGGTGGCTTTGCTTAAACAAACCACCTGCTCCACTCTGTTATCAGCTACAGACCAAGGACTTGTCACCTGCCAGTGCCAGAACTTGGTGTTGGAGACGCAGCAACAGACTGGCAAACTCCTAGATGGTGGTGCAAATCCTCTCTCTCTTCACTTGTGCATATGCATGAGTGTATGGGTGGTATCTTTTTCCCTGTGTCTCAATCTCTTTTTGTCTCTCTTAAGAATGGAAACTGGGCCAGGCATGGTGGCGCATGCCTTTAATCCCAGCACTTGGGAGGCAGAAGCAGGCAGATCTCTGTGAGTTTGAGGCCAGCCTGGTCTACATAGAGTTCCAGGACAGCTGGGACTACAGGCTCAAAAAGACAAAACAAAGGCCGGGCATGGTGGTGCATGCCTTTAATCCCAGCACTTGGGAGGCAGAAGCAGGCGGATCTTTGTGAGTTCGGCCAGCCTGGTCTGCATAGTGAGTTCCAGGACAGCTGGGGCTACAGAGAGACCCTGTCTCAAAAAGACAATTAAAAAAAAAAAAAGACAAAACAAAACAAAGAATGAATGGAGGCTACTCAGGTCGGGAACCACAGAGGGAGCTGAGGGGTAGGTTAGGGCAGGCTTCAAGGAAGGACATGGGAGCTCTGGTTAGGAAGCTGGTCTTCTGTGAAGGATTTAGAACATCAACAGCCTACCTACTAATCTGGAAGAGGCAGTGGCCAACATGGCTGGTATATGGCACTCATAAGACTCAAAATATGCCAGGGGCCTTCATCAGCCACAGTGAGGCACAGAAGCTGGGTTCTGAGGGTTCCAGGAGTTCAGGGAGGGTCAACATACCAGGGGCCATGGCAGTGGCCAGTCAGGGATAAGGGAGAGGAAGGGTGGGTGACAGAGGCTGGGGAGGCTGAAGAGACTGAGCACAGCAGTGGGAAAGGGGCAGGAAGCATCAAAGATGAGGCTCACAGCTCTGCCTGGAGGACGGGATGGATGGATGGAGCTGCTACTAACACAGTAACCTGGGGGCCAGGAGGACCTGGGACACCAGGGCTGAAGGGAGCTGGGAACAAGCTGGAACCAGATCTTACAGGGCCTTGAATGCTATCTTGTCCCATTTGGGTTTGTCCCAAGGGCATTGGGGAGCCATGGAGACATTGGGAAGATCTCTCGGGTTGTCTGGCTACGGTTGGCTCCAAAGGGGAGGCTGAAATTGGAAAGATTGTGTACCCTGGATAATGCTGATGGCCTGGTCCTGGCAGGGTGGTTTTGCTCAAAAAAGTGCTGCAGGTACCAGAAAATGGCAACGCAAATTCTGCGGCAAGGAAAGTCAACGCGAGTCCTGCCCAGCCAGCTCAGTGCTGATATTTGTTGTTCTGATTTTCTTCTTCTTCTTCTTCTTCTTTTTTTTGTCCTAACCTTTAATGAGACATTACCAATACCCTGGTGGTTGTCTGCTGACCTTTGGGAGTCTGTAAACCCCATAAAGGCAAATAAAATAGTGGAATCCCTTTTCTGGGAATAAAGGCTCAGAACATCCATCAGTATTACATCATTTGAAAAGCAGGGGAAACTCTGACCTTTCAGGAGAAGGCTTGTATCTTGCGTAAGTAGCTGAGCCTGGGGTAGAGAAGCTTCCAGAAGGCTGTCGGTAGGGAGGAACTCTGTCGGCCCCTGCTGGTGATGCTGTGTAAGGGGTTTCTGGGAAGCTGACAGGCCTGGAATGACACAGATCAGGGTCAGGAGGCCATTCTGCTTTTGAGATGCAGACAGCAGACCTTCCCCTCAGGTCCAGTCACACTCCACCTACTATGCACCCCTTGGAGAGAGAGCCGGAAGCTGGGGAAGGGCAGTGGGAAGCTGGGATAGCCTGGTCCCTCTTCCCTGCACTGGGCCCCAGGCTCAGCTTCTGCAGCCAGCACAGGGGCCACTGAGGACAGCTCTCAGCCCTCTCCTGGGACAAGATGTTCCACTGCCCTTAGGCATTTGGGGAAAAACTTTGTGTATGCTTCTTTTTTGTAGTGCTGTGGATTGGCTGATGGCCACAGGTACACTAAGTTCTACCCCTGAGCCATATACCTAGCCCTCTTTATCTTTTAAAATACTATGTATATAAGAGATACTAGTATCTCAGCTGGGTCTGGTGGTGCAGGCCTGTAATCCTAGCTACTCAGAAGGTTGAAGCAGGAGGCTCTTTGGTTCAGAGCCAGCCTGGACAACAGTAAGAGCTTACTCTAAATAAAGGAGAAAGCAGGCTCAGCAGAATATTTGCCTAGCATGCTCAATCCTCAGTATTAATCAATCAATTACTCAGTCAGTCAGTAGAAATTAAACATCATCATCAAAGTTCCTGAAGCAACTACCAGCCCAAGAACTGGATATGGCTGTGACAATCACCTGGGGGCTTCTCCCTTGCCCTGCCCCTCAGGCCCAGGGGAGGGAGAGGGGAGGAAGAAGAGACGGGGAGAGTAGAGGGAGACAGGGATACACAGGCAAAATAACTGAGGGATGAACAGAAAGAAGGGTAGGAGAGAGATGGGAGAAGGCTGGTTGTGGGCAGGTGGGGCATGGGGTGGCAGTGGTGTCCTTGGGGGGGGTCCTTACCTCTTGCTGTGCAGTGGCTGGGACTCACGGAAAGGGACCATAGGAGTCTGCTTCGGGGGTCGGCTCAGGGATTGCACGTGGCCAGGTGTGGCAGGGGTAGTCCATTTGGCGGCTGGCAGGGAGTTGTGGGAGGCTGGCCCACTCCACTGCCAGGGAGCATTGCTGCGGTAGGGGGGCCGGCCCCCAGGGGTGGTGCTTTCTGATTCGGTCTTGGGCTCCGAGGTGCTCATGTCATAAGTCTCTGGCCACCCCCTGGAAGGACAACTTTGTTACTCAGAAGGCCTGGGTCCAACAGCATGTAGGCCTTCTGCCTACAAGGGACCCTGTTTATAGAGAAATCAATTCCAAACCATGCTGGTCCATTTGCAAGGCTGAGTGGCATCCTTTGAATTAGGGCTGAAACTTACCAGCTCAGAGTCCTAGGCCAGGACCCAGCACAGGGCTGCAGTTGCCAGGCCTGAATCCCTCATTTCTTGTCCCTCCTCCCAGTCTTGGCTTCCTGTGCCCTCCCCTGTCTCTGGCCTGGGCCTCCAGTCAGCCAGTGCCCTTAACGCACCAGCTCAGCCCCCCTTAGCAGTACTTGGGGCCGGAAAGGCAGGTGTCCTCAAAAATCAAAGGACAGTCTCTGCCTTGTTCCCAGGAATCTCAAAGGCTGCTGGAAGAGGAGCAGGTGACCTATTTTGCAAGGTGGTTAAAAAAAAAAAAAAAACACAAAAAAAACCCCTATGAAACTCAGAACCTTGAAATAGATGCAGAGCGGCCTGTGATTCCCCCAAGCCCGGCTGGCACATGCACTGCAGTGCGGCAATCCTGGCTGGGACTGGGGGATCCAGGCTGGGCTGGCACTTCTGCCACGGCTGCAGCACAGGAGGGACCCTGAACCTGCGGAAGGCTGAGCTCAGAAAATCTACCCCCCCCCCCCCGGCGGGGGCAGTGAGAGTTGAGCTGAGAGGCAGGCTCTCAGGCCTCTACCAGGCAATCCCAAGGCTCTTCTGGCCTGAGGCACTCAGGCCTGGCTGCTACAGGGCCATTGGCAGGGGACTGAGGATGAGCACCTGTCTTGGGTTCTACTCGAGGTGTCCCTGAGGCAGTAGAGCTGACATTTGGTAGGTCTTTGCGGGGCAGATGGGGTGAGGTGGGGGGTTGAGGGGGGTCAGGAACCACACTAGGCATCAGGTGGGACCAATAAGGACACAAATGTCCAACAGAACGAACTAGCAGATGGGCTACAATCTAAAAGTCCAGTGTCCAGATGACCCCAGGGCCCAGCAGTGATACAGATCTTACTGTGAGTACCTGGGGTAAATCTGAGGAAAGGCTCAGGGCTGCAGGTTCCTGAGCTGCTCTGGTGAGGCTGACATGGGGTCACCTTTCAGAATCTCACTTCACTGATTCAGGCCTTTTTTGTTTTGTTTTCTTGAAACAGGGTCTCATGTAGCCTAGCCTGACCTCAAACTTACTATGCAGCCAAGGCTGGCCCTAAACTCCTGATCTTCCTGTTTCTACTTCTTACACGCTGGGATTATAGATGTGTGCCATCATGCCCAGCTTGATTCAGGTTTAAAGTGGCCTTTTTTTTTTCCCCTCTTGCGATATGCCTCACTCTGTTACCCAAGCTGACCTTGGTCCTCTCGCATCAGCCTTCAAGTGTTGTGATTTAGAGATGTAAGCCTCCAAGACTGGCTAGTTTTTCAGTTGTTTTTAAAGGTAAATGAGCTATAGTGCTTGTGAGATGGCTCAGTGGGTAAAGGTGCTTGCTGCACAAGCCTGGAGACCAGAGTTTGATTCTTGGAACCCACATAAAGGTGGAAGGAAAGAACATGTCCCCCCCATATTATGCATATACATACAATAATTGTTTTTAAAAAGACTACAGAGGTATAAAAGGATAGCCCTAAACCCCAAAGGCAACCACTGCACCCAGGTCCTAATATATTCTTTTATAACTATGATACACAGACAAGTATTATTTAAAATAGTTGTAAAAAGAATATCATACGGCCTCTTTGTCTAGCATCCTGTTGCTTTTCTCTTTTCATGCCTTCACAGCTCAAAGAGATCCATTTAATTTAGTTTCCTTCTTTCCTTCCTTATGGTGGTACTGAGGATGGAACTTGGGATCTCACGCATGCTAGGCAAGTGCTCTACCACTGAACTATACCCCATCCCTACACATTGCATCTTTTTAAAAAAAACAAACTTGTTTTTTAGTTTTTTATTATTGTTATTTTATATGTATGAGTGATTGCCTGCTTGCAAGTAAGTGCACCTGCGTTGTGCAATGCCTGAAGAGGTCAGAAGAGGCCGTTGGATCTCCTGGAACTACAGTTAGGGATGGTTGCTAGCTATCATGTGGGTGCTGGGAACTGAACCTGGATCTTCTATAAGAGGAGCCAGTGCTCTTAACTGCTGAGTCACCTCTCTAGCCCGCTACAGGGTGCATCTTATCAGAGGCTCAAGGGTGTCTTCCTGGGAATCTGGCTTGGTCAAGTTATGGACTAGCAGCTGGGGGCTCACAGGAGAACTCCAGCCTTGTGGCCTGGAGGCTAGAGGTCCCCTTTGTACCAGCAGGGCCTGGCTGGTGGCAGTCTGTGTACCTCTGCCAGTTCCATGAGTTTGTAACACCTGTCCCAGAAGCCAGGTTCGTGGCAAGGCTGGATGGTCTTAGGGCTGTGATGATCAGCATTGCAAGGCCAGCAAAACCCAGCTCAGTTGGTAGAGTGCTTGCCCAGGATATAAGCAGCATTGATGAGCCCCACCCCCACCCCCGCTGCTGCATGGTAGTGCATGTATGCAATCTCAGCATTTGGGAGACAGAGGCAGGAGGATCAGTGCAAGGCTAGTCTCAGCTACATAGTAAGCTGGAGGCTAGCCTGGGCTACATAGGAGCCTATCTCAAAAAACAAAACATTAACAAAAAATTCGAAGCAGAAAGTAGTAAAGTCACTTGCCCAGGGTCACAATTAATAAGGAACAGGCTGGAGTATGGCTCAGTGGTAGAGCTATGCCTAGCATGCAAAGTCCCTGGGCTTCATCCCCAGCACCCTCCTCCCCTGACTCCCACCCACTCAAAAAGGGGTAAGAGCTGGGATTCAAACCAGGCATCTTTACTGCAGAGCCTGCCTCCCAGCTTTTGTTCTCTGAAATAATCTTATTTGTTTACAGAAGGATCCTAATTAACAAAATGACTGTTAATTAAAAAAAAACTATGATACAATAGGGAAACAGCAACAAAGACTGGATTGTTGATATTATGGAATTACTGTTCAATTTGTAATATGTTACCAAAAAGGTCCTTACTGTATAGACACGTATTCCGAGGTCTGGGACTATTTGGCTATTCAAAGGTAGGGTGGTGAGGGGTAGGGATGCAGAGTTTAGAAGAAGAAAAGGGCCAGTGAGACAGCTCAGCAGGTTAAAGTGCTTACTGCCAAGCCTAACAACCAGTTTGATCCTTTGGACTCACATGCTGAAAGGAGAGAACTAATTCCCTAGTTGCCCTCTGATATTTACATGCATGCTGAGGCATGTGTACACACGTGTGTATATGCTTATACACAAAATAAAATGTAAAAAAAAAAACAAAAAAAACCCCAAAACCAAACAAGACTAAACACACACACACACCCTGGCCACATGCTGATGAATGTTGCAACTGGGGACTCAGTATCGTCACCTCTTAGAATCCATGGACCACTGGCTTCAAGACCCCATGGATAGCAAACACTAAGGATGCTCAAATCCCTTATATCAAATGTCTTAGTGTTTGCAGAGAGACTTCCCACATTCTTCTGCATGCTTTAAATCAAGATGGTGCATAATATGTAATACAAGGGACACAAGGATATGCTATGCAAACAGTTGTTCTACAGTACTATTGTGTGTGTGGGGGGAGACGGGGGTCTCCTTGGAGCCCCAGCTGGCCTGGAACTTCTAATGTAGACCAGGCTGGCCTCTATCTCATTGAGATCTGCCTGCTTCTGCTTCCTGGATGCTAGGATCAAAAGTGTGCACCTTTAAGGTGCTACTGCGCTATTTTTTTTTTCTTATTAAATATTTTATTTTTGCGTGCATGTGCATATGCTCAGAGGCCAGAAGGCGGCACTGGATCCCTTGGAACTTGAATTATAGACATTTGTGAACCACCTGATGTGGGTACTGGGAGCTGAACTTTGGTTCTCATGATTGAGCAACATGTGCTCTGAACTGTTGAGCCATCTCTCCAGCCCTCTACTGTGTTATCAGGGAATGAGAAGAGAAAGTTCCGTGCTTGTTCAGTACAGATGCAGATGCACCCTGCCCCCCCCCAGCCCCTGTCAATTTCAATCTGTAGTTGGTTTAACACACCAATGTGAACCTCATAGATGCCAAGTCCACAAATACGTTTGGTCCAGACTATACGTTCATCATTATGTCTGGAATGTTCCATTAATAAATGAAACAAGTGTGGGGCGTAGGGATGAATGACTAACTCTAGCACTCAAGAGACTGAGAAAGGAAGACTATGAGTTTGGAGGCTAGCCTTGGCCATGAAGAGACAGGAGGGTGTTAATCAATTGCTTTGATTGGGTTTAATGCCTGCTCCACAGGAGGGAATTCATGCCTGGAATTATAAACCTGGCCAAAAGCCCATGGCTAGGGAGGTCACAAGCCCTGCTAGGGAAGCTACTGCTATTGTTTGCTAAATGGACATGATGTACCTGTCAAAATGTCTTCGAAAAAACTATGTTTATGCCTATAGGTTAGTGCTGCTGTCTGCTTTGCTCAGAGAAATTTCTTTTTCGAAGTGGACAGTGTTGACTGTAGACACATAACTGGTCAAAGTTATGAGACTACACAGGCTGTTGAATGCTCAGCCATAAACGGGACATCTATAACACCCACTCCAAGGCTCAGCGAACATGGCAGGAGGAAGCATGGAGAGCAATGCAGAATGCTGACTTCTGGGCAGGGCATGGCTGTTCCAGCCCTTCACCTCACAGCAGCTTGTGATTACCTGCACAAGATCTGTTCAGAACTGGATTGTCAGTGCTCTCTCATGAAAGAGGGAGGGACTTATGGGCCCCCACACCTCTCTGAGGATTTATATGAAGTTAATGGCTGACTGGGGAGGGAGAGGTATTTTCTTTAGCAGTGTAGCCTCTGGTAAGGTGTCCATGTTCCTATAAGCAACACTCACAAAACCCATTCACACATATTCTCTCTCTCTCTCTCTCTCTCACACACACACACACACACACACACACACACACACACACACGTGCACGCCATAAAAGCAGGAGTGCTAGCTGAGAAGAGGAAGGGAATTGGCAGGAGTGGAAGGGGCATGAAAGAGGGTAATAGGTGTGTGTGACTATGATCAATCCACTATGCCTACGTATGAAATGTCATAATGAAACCCACTACATAGAATTAATATATGCTAACAAAAACATTTTAAAGGGAAGCAAAATGGGTTAAAAAAAAAACCAAACCCTCCACTGGCTCCCTGTTGTGCTGGGACTAAGCCTTGTGGCTCCCCATTGCCCACAGCCCCCTTCCCTCCCCCCACTCTCACCTGGATTGTACTGCTCACCACAGGGTGTCTCTGTGTTCTAGGCATGCACCATGCCCACCTGAGAGACTCTGCCCTGGTTACTTTTCACCTAGATTCTGTTGGCCCAGAAAACCACGTGGCTGGGTATGCCACAGAGCCTACAGCAGCCTTCCCTGCCAGCCGGAAGCAAAGCTCTGTCATGGGCAGGCTCTCTGGTTAGGCTGGTTTGTATTTTTGTTATTGTTGTTTGAAGCAGGGCCTCAAGTAGCTGAGGCTGTCCTTGAACTCATTACATGGTAGAGCCTGGCCTTGAACTCCTGATCCTTCTGCCTCTACCTCTCAGGTGTTGGGACTCCAGGCGTCGGCGACCAGGCTTTGCTGCTATCTACTTTATGGTCTGTCTTTCTCTGTAGAGCACAAATTGCAAGGGAATGGGTACTTTGCTTTGCCCTCTGCCATATTCCTAGCACTGAAAATGGACCTTGCATACAGTAGGGGCCCAATAAATGTCCCAGCATGTCCTGGGACAAGTTACTTTTCACACTGTGTGCTTCATCTAGAAAATGTGAATATTAAAGTAGGATGCCAAGGAGATAGATACATGCTATTCTGTCTATAGAGAGCTTACATTGGAGGCACATGCTACTGTGCACATGGGGAGCTTACACTGAAGGGACACACTACTGTGCACATGGAGAGCCTACACTGAAGGGACACGCTACTGTGCACATGGAGAGCTTACACTGAAGGGACACGCTACTGTGCACATGGAGAGCTTACACTGAAGGGACACGCTACTGTGCACATGGAGAGCTTACACTGAAGGGACACGCTACTGTGCACATGGAGAGCTTACACTGAAGGGACACGCTACTGTGCACATGGAGAGCTTACACTGAAGGGACACGCTACTGTGCACATGGAGAGCTTACACTGAAGGGACACGCTACTGTGCACATGGAGAGCTTACACTGAAGGGACACGCTACTGTGCACATGGAGAGCTTACACTGAAGGGACACGCTACTGTGCACATGGAGAGCTTACACTGAAGGGACACGCTACTGTGCACATGGAGAGCTTACACTGAAGGGACACGCTACTGTGCACATGGAGAGCTTACACTGAAGGGACACGCTACTGTGCACATGGAGAGCTTACACTGAAGGGACACGCTACTGTGCACATGGAGAGCTTACACTGAAGGGACACGCTACTGTGCACATGGAGAGCTTACACTGAAGGGACACGCTACTGTGCACATGGAGAGCTTACACTGAAGGGACACGCTACTGTGCACATGGAGAGCTTACACTGAAGGGACACGCTACTGTGCACATGGAGAGCTTACACTGAAGGGACACGCAACTGTGCACATGGAGAGCTTACACTGAAGGGACACGCTACTGTGCACATGGAGAGCCTACACTGAAGGGACACGCTACTGTGCACATGGAGAGCTTACACTGAAGGGACATGCTTCTGTATACATGGAGAGCTTACACTGAAAACCAGCCATCCTGTCTCACCAGATCTGCTGAGACAGGGTGTAGCAAGTTCCTTCTCTGAGGCCATGGGTGACTGTCAAGGAGGCCTCATGCAGCCTTCTGGAAGCTGCTAGTCTTGACCCCTGCCTCTCAGGGCAATGCCCTTACCTTCGGGGTGTGCCATCATCGAAAGGTGGGATGATAACCACCTTCACGGTGACAGAGGTACGCAGCAGGTCGATCATCTGGTCGTGGGTCAGTGTGACCACGGCCACCTTGCAGATTTCCACCAGCCGACTGCCTTGCCGGAGACCAGCCTGCCAGGCAAAGCCATAGTCCTCCACTTCAGCCACCGTCCCATCATACTTCACGTGAAAGCCCAGCTGTCCCAGTCCATTCCGCCGCAGGGTCATGTCCACCGTCTCCCAGCCGTTGGTCATCACCTGTGGGCAAGCAGGAAGGATGGAGGCTCGGCTGTTTGTTTCGGTCAGCTCCTCTGAAGACCCTGGTCAGACTCCTCACTCTGAGATAATCTGCCAACTCCCACCTGACCTCCAGGTCCCACTGGAATCCCAGAAGGGTGAGCATCACCTGATCCCAGCATGGAGTCCTGGTTTCTGGGGAGCAAATATGCAAGTGCCACTCCATGGTTGAATATCTCACAGAGAGGACCACAGTCTCCACTGTACTCTCCAAATATTCCCCCTCCATCCCTCCTTCTCTCCTTCCCTCCTCCCTCCCTCCCTTCTTACATCTGGTGGGACTGTACCTCTCAGCCCACTGTGATCAGGTGTGAGCTGTGAAGAGGGCTGGCATATCCTCTTGGTTGGGGTATGAATTAATTTTGTGGTACTTGGCATGGAAACCAGGGTCACATGCATGCTACATAAGTATTCTTCCACCTAGTCACATCTCCAAGCCCGTGTGTGTGTGTGTGTGTGTGTGTGTGTGTGTGTGTGTGTGTGTTTGAGCGGAGGTCAGAGAAGGCTGTCAGTCCTCCTCTATGGCACTCTGTCTTATTCCCCTGAGTTAGGTCTTTCATTGAACCTGGAGCTTGCTGATTTTTTTCAGCCAAGCTAGTGACCACAGAGCCCCGCTGATTCACCTGCCCCTCTGTCCCCCCAGGGCTGGGGTTACAGGCATTTGTGGCCATGCCTAGCTTTCTATGTGGACACTGGGGATCCAAACTCAGGTCCTCCTCATGCTTTTATAAGTGTTCTTACCCATCACTCAGTCCCCAGCCTTCTTTCTTATTTAAAAAAATATTTTATTTATTATTTTTATTTATTTTTTTATTTTATGTGTATGAATATATTGCCTGCATATAAGTGCAATGCCCATGGAGGTCAGAAGAGGGGGTCAGATCCCCTGGAACTGGAGTTACAGATGGTTGTTAGCCACCATGTGGGTACTGGGACTTGAACACTGGTCACCTATAAGAGCATCTAGTGCTTTTAACCACTAACCCATCTCTCCAGTCCTGATTTTTTGAAAAAGATTTTGTTTTCATTTATGCGTATGTGAGTGTGTGTTTGTTGAGTGTCTGGAGTGCCCATGAAGGCCAGAAGAGGACACCGGATTGCCTGGAGCTGGAGTTACAGGCAGTTGTGAGCCCATTCAATGTGGTTGCTGGGAACTGAACTCGGGTCCCCTGGAAGAGCAGTAAGTGTTCTTAATCATTGGGGCATCACTCCAGATCCTTTTTTAAAATTTTCAGACTGGGTCTCACCAAGTTGACCATGCCGGCTTTGAACTTTTGATCTTTCTGTCTCAGTCTCCCACTCAGCTGCAGTTATTGGCTTGGGTGGAGTATTGCTAGTATGAGACTCTACATGGACCTTTGGCCTCTGTCATTGAGACTAGTACTATTCTAGATAGTTATGGCTGATTGGACTGGGGTTCAGGGCTAGAATAGTGTGGAGAAGAGCCCCTGGGTCAAACCCAGGGTGGACATGTAATAAGAAATAAGCCTGCTGTTTCAAGTCACAAATGTGTTCTGACTGATAAAACAATCCTAAGTGAAGTACGTGGCAAAAGTGACAGGCTGCAATACTGTGACCTTTTCTACTTTGGGGTCTCAAGCCACACACTTCCACATTCTGACATATATTGTGACATAGATCTTCCACATTCTGACATTATTGTGACACACATCTTTCCCTAACATGGAGTTGACCAGGCCACACAGGGCCTCACCTCCAATTCCCTTTTCCTTTACTCAGATTATGAAATGTTCATGAATGAACATAAGACAGAAGTGCACACTGAATGGAACCCCCAGAACCTCAGTATGCCACTAATGAGTGTTCTCGGGATACAAAAAGATTATGTTGCTAGATTACTGACCTGCCAGGCAAGATGTGCCCATTGGTGCAATAGTGGCACGACTGGTATGGGGAAACCCACCCCTCACCCTTCCTTCCTTCCTTCCTTCCTTCCTTCCTTCCTTCCTTCCTTCCTTCCTTCCTCCCTCCCTCCCTCCCTCTCTTTAATGCATGTGCGTGTGGTATATGCCTGTGGAAGCCAGGGGAGGACGCTGGGTGTCCTGCTCTATCATTCTCTATTCACATGAGATGGGGTTTTTCTCAAATCCTGGAACTAGACTGGGAGCCAGAAAGCCCCAGCAGTCCTGTTTCTGTTCTCCACAGTGTTGGTGTTATAGGTATGCTCATGGCCATGTCTGGCTTTTTATGTGGGTGCTGGGATTTGAACTCAGGTCTTCATGCTTGCACAGCAAGTGTTTTTACCCACTGAGCCAATCACCCCGGCCTTACCAACCAGTTTCTGGTTGGAACTGAGGCCCACTCCACAGGAAGGAATTCACAGTAAGCCCTGTCAAAAAAAGGCCTGTGGTTTGGGAGGTCATTGGCTCTAGTGGGGAAGCTACTGCTGTTGTTTTGCTATGCGGAGGACGATGTGCCTGTCAAAGTGCCTTCTAAATATTTATGTTCTAACCCATAAATTAGTGTTGCTGTCAGCTTTCGTCAGGGAAGCTTCTTTTTGCAGTTGGAGGTGGTAACTGCAGACTCACAACTGGTCTGCTCAATGTTCAACCCAAAATGGGGCATTTTTATCACTCTCTCCAAGACTCTGGGACCATCAAAGAGGGGGTGGAAAGAATATAAGAACCAGAGGAGGGGTGGAGTGTTGTGGAATGATGTCTTCTGGGCATGACATGGCCACTGCACTCCTGAACTGACAGCAGCTGTGATTATTTACCCAAGACCAGCACAAGACTTGGCCTATTAACATTCTGTCTCATGAGGCCCCACCCCTTTCTAAGGGTCTATATACAGGCAGTTAGTAGTAGCTGGGGAAGGGAGAGAGGTTTTCTTTAGTGCTGTAGCCCCTGGTTAAGCTGCTCATACCTCCTCACTCATGCTGCTGTAAGTACCTCTAATTAAACTCCTTAGTCACCAATAAAGAAGTCCCTAGAGTCCATGTCAGAGTGGGAGAGAGTTTAACTGACTCCACAAAGTTGTCCTCTGACTTCACATGCATGTTATAGCACACATGCCCCCCACCCTACATCATGTACCACACGCGCGTGCGCGCGCGCACACACACACACACACACTAATAATAATAAATGAAAATAAAAATAAAACATAAAAGATGGGCCTTTGCAAGCTATGACTAGAAAGTAAATTATATCAAGATTTGTCTTCTATTTCCTAAAACCAAATTACAAAGAAAAGACAGGTACTAGCTCAACTCTCCCATGAGATTTCACTGATAGAAATTAGGGTACTTAATGGGCCTATGAGACAATGGCTTTCACCTTGTGAATGGTAGAGCAGGCATTCACTTGTCTTATGGATGAGAAAACCAATGGTGATGTTAGCTGCTGGCAATGCAGCCCTCTTTCTTCCACATTTATTGATTATCTTAGCTGCATTTTAATTAGGCTGCCCCTGCATTCTTCATGAGGATGATTCTTACTTTTTTTTTTTTTTTCTGGTCTTTTTTTTTGAGACGGTCTCCCTGCAGCCCCAGCTGGCCTGGAACTTGATATGTAGACCAGGCTGGCCTTGATTTCACCAGAGATCCACCTGCCTCTGCCTCTCAAGTGCTGGGACTAAAGGCAGGTACCACCATGCTCGGTTCTAGGATGATTCTTACTTATTGCTCTGGTCTCAGTTTAAACCCCGCAAGCCTGGGATAATGTCCACAAATGACGTGGGCTGTGTTGCTGATAGGTAACACACTTGTGTTCCATGTAAAGGGAGGACCTATTGTCCCATTTCAGTTGACTACTGTTCCTTACGAATGTGGACCTGGTATAGCCAGACCCCCCGCCTCCCCCAATTTTTCAAGAGAAACTGAAGAACCTCGGATGGTACAAAATCCTCTGAATGTCAGAATTTGATAACTAAGTATGTCTAGGGTGACAGCGACCTGTGGATTGAATCCTCCAAGTCTAAACTGGGTCCATATGTGTTATGGTCTGGATGTAAACTGTTCCTCATAGCTCATGCCTTTGAGCACTTGGTGTCCTGGTGGTGGTTCAGTTTGGGGCGGTTATGGCACCTTTAGGAGGAGGGCCTGGCTTGGAGGAAGAGGGTAGTAAGGGGGCAGGCCTTGGAGGTTGATAACCCACTTCTGGTTCCAGACTGAGCTCTGTGAGGCCAGCCTAGTCTACATAGAGAGTTCCAGGCCAGCCGGGGCTGCATAGTGATACCCTGTTTCAAAACAAAGCAAAACAAAAAAATCAATACCCTCCTCTTATTTTTTTGTTGCTGGGGATTGAAAGGAGGGCTAAACACATACTCTGCCAATGAGCTATACCCCCAATTCCTCAATCTACCTGCTTGTCTGTCTGTCTGTCTCTGTCTTTGTCTCTCCCTCTCTAGGTTTCTTTTCAGACAGTTAGCTTGTTTTGTAGCCCAGGCTGGAACTCAAGGCAATCTTCCTGCCTCAGGCTTCCAAGTTTTGGGATTACAGGTATGAGCCACCATGCCTGGTTTCAATACCTTCCTTTTAACCCCTCAGCACATGTTCAGTATTTTCTGGAGAGGTGGTCTCAAAAAGGTAGGTCTGGGCCCATTATGATCACTGTTGTGTCCTGGCACCACTCAGCCTAGGGTCAGTTATAATAAATCTTGCTTGATGAAAAACTGATGGGATGTGGCTAGTTTGATGTCTGATGTGGTGGCATCAGTCTGCCTGGATCTGAATCCCAGCTCAGCAGGGGAAAGTCCTGGATCTGATCCCAGCTCAGCAGGGAGGGTGTGGAAGGCTCATGCTGCAGGATGTCACAGAGAAGAAACTCACTGGTGCCGAGGTTAAGATGGTCTTGTCCTTCACAGGGGATGGCTTACGTTATTCTTGACCCACTGGTTCCTTGGCAGGCTTGTGAGACTGGGGGTGAAGGATGGCTGTGGACATGTACTCTGAAAGGGCAGCATCAACATTAGGCTTGATGGAGAAGTGAGGGTGGGTCAGAGTGGTAGAGAGATGACACGGGTAAAACAACCTGGCCAGTACCTGACATTGTCCCTGCTCAAAAACTGAGAGCTGCCACCAGAACCGTGTGGGGGTGGGGAATGGGGTGGAGTGGTGGTGTTGGATGTTGAGGAACCCAGGCTCTTCACACATTCTGGGGCCTCAGTTTCTTCCTCTTTTAAGTGGGGATGCTAATGGTGTCTACCCCACTGGGATTTTTTTTTTTTTTTTT